CTGGGTTTAGAAGGGGTCGTGGTACTAGGGATATTGTTGCTGAAAGCAGAGAATACCAGACGAATGTCTATCTGTGCTTCATTGATTATGCAAAGGCATTTGACTGTGTGGATCATAACAAACTGTGGCTGACTCTGAGAAGAATGGGAATCCCAGAACATTTAATTGTGCTAATACGAAACCTATACTTGGACCAAGAGGCAGTAGTCAGAACAGAGCAGGGTAACACTGCATGGTTCAAAATAGGGAAGGGTGTACGCCAGGGATGCATCCTGTCTCCATACCTTTTCAACATGTATGCAGAGCAGATTATCCGAGAGGCTGGGCTCTATGAGGAGAACTGTGGCATCAGGATTGGTGGAAGATCTATCAACAATCTCTGTTATGCAGATGACACAACCTTGCTTGCTGAAACTGAGGAGGACCTCGTGCACTTGCTGCGAAGGGTCAAGGACTGCAGCCTTCAGTATGGACTGAGGCTCAACGTCAAGAAGACAAAGATTCTCGCCACTGGACCAATTGGCAGCGTCAGGATGGATGATGAAGAGATTGAGAGTGTTCACAGCTTCACTTTGCTGGGCTCCACAGTTAACACTCTTGGTACCAGCAGTCAGGAAATCAAAAAGTGTATCGCGATGGGAAAGTCTGCCGTTAGGGACCTCTCAAACGTACTCAGGAGCAACAGTGTCTCTCTGGAGACTACGGTGCGCCTGATACAGGTCATGGTATTTGCAATCGCTTGTTATGCATCAGAGAGTTGGACAATGACTAGGGAGGACAGAAGGAGAGTGGATGCTTTTGAGCTGTGGTGCTGGAGAAGGGTACTGAATGTACCCTGGACTGCCAGGAAAACAAACAGATCCATCTTGGAGAGGATTAAACCAAGCTGCTCCTTGGAGGCAAGGATTCTGGGTCTTCGTCTGACATACTTTGGACATGTTGCCAGGAGGGACGGGTCCTTGGAGAGGGACATCATGCTTGGGAGGGTGGAGGGACAGCGCAGGAGGGGAAGACCCTCTATGAGATGGGTTGATTCGGTGACTGGGATAATCAGGATGGGTGCGTCAGAGGCGGTGCGGTTGGCGCAGGTTAGAGCAGGGTTTAGAGCTGTTGTGCATGGGGTCGCTATGAGTCGGAAACGACTCGATGGCACATAACAACAACAACAACATGTCTTGATGTGTTGGGTTTCTTTTTTTTTGTCTATTTGGTGTTCATTGTGTTTCTTGAATGTGGATTTTCTCATTGTTCAAAACATCCAGCCAGTTTTCTTCTAGTACTTCTTCCACAATTTTCTCAGTGACTTCCCTGTCATTCCTGTGTTCTGGAATTCCAGTTATATGCTATTCCATTTAATGTCATCCCACATGATTCTAATGCTTTCTTCACTTTTCATCTCTGATTTTTCTTCTAGTATCTTTTCTGTGAGGATCTTGACTTCCAGCTAACTGACTTTCAGTTCCATCTCTTCAGTTCTAAGTTTCTGTCCCACCAGGGTGTTGGACACTTCTGCCATTTCAGTCTTAATATTCTGGATTGCATTTTCATGCTTTTTTGGTATTTCTAGTGCTGTGCTGGCTATCCCCTTTCTGTCTTGTGATAATTTTTCAAGTTCTTGTACCTCTTTATCTACACTATTAATTCTTTCTTCCATCTTTTGCATTATCTTCCATAGCTGTTTAATTGCTCCTCATCAATGTGGGTTTTTTTTCCCTGGATTGCTTTCTAGGGTATTTGCTCTTAATGGCTTCCATTGTTTCTTCCATCATTTTTGTCTTCTGCAGCTGTTCAAATAACTCCACATCAACACATTTCTTCTGGTTTCCTCTATCTGGGGTATTAATTGGGTCTGCTTGTTTTAGGGAATTTATTTTGTTTTTTCATAATGATGGAGGCAGACTGCTGTTTTCTTGACATTATGTGAGTTTTTTCTTAGTAGACACTAGGGTATTGTAATTACATAATGACCCAGGGTATGGCAATGTTTTGGATCTGTATATTGGTGCTCCCCTTTTGGGAAAAACAGTCAACCAGGAGCAGGATGATTGTTGCCATTCTGAAACCACAGCTCAACCCAGCCTCTTCTCCTTGCTTAAGAAATACCATGTAATGTAGCTAGAAAGCAGTATTTCACTCAAAGTGCCTGTGATATTGGTATTCCTGGTGTGCTGGAGAACAGAGGCAGCAGCTGAGCAGTCTCCTGGCTATGGGGCATTGGGGTATCGAGGTGGCTGTGGCAGTGGTCTAATACTTTGGGCAGTATTGTGGTCTAAAACCTGCAGCCCCTCAATCTGGCAGGCAGTATGCCTGGGCTTGGCCACAGCCTTTAGCAGATGCAGGTCTCATGAGACGAGAGGATCTCTGGGGTATTGTTTTGAAAATAATACTTAGCTTAAGATTTTTTAGTACAGTTATAAAAGTCAAATTAAATACAATAAAGTTTCTGATTATTTTTGGTACCTAGAGATGGTTTTTACAGCTGAAATTAACACATCAGCTAAACAAAACATTGCTGAATACTGTTATTTGATAAAAGTTGCCTTGTGTCATTTCTGTAAATTGTTCTGGAAAAGTTGTAATATCCTAATAATAAAAAGATATCACACATAGTTACCTTTTAAAAATAGCCAGTGATTTGGCTTTGGCCTATTAAAATATAAATACACAGCAAGCATTTGCATTCAGAGGCCAAAACTTGACTAGACTGTCGATTTATAAACACATGGGCTAATTGACCATCTTATTCTACTTAATATTAAAAATATAAGCTATATGAATTAAGGGATACCTTTCTTGTTAATAAAAAATTGAATCAAAAAATAAAAAAGAAAATAGAAACTCATAAAGTCCTCCAAATTGTTTTTCCAGATTTTTTTTAATTTTAAGGAAAGTTTACAGACTTTGTATTTCCATTCATTCATTGTTGCACACTTTCCTCCCTGCCCACTCATACCCCCTCAGTTTGCGTTTCTCTTTGAAAAGTAAAAAAAGAAAAAAAATTTAAAAATAGTTCTTTTATTGTTATACAATCCCCCCCACCTCCACCCGATGTCCCCAAGTCCCCTCCACTATTCAGCTTTCATTCTGGAAAGTCCACCACATTTTTAATGAAGGAAAATTCAGTAGAGCTCTAAAACGGATTATTTTAAAGATGATTAAAGTCAGCGATATAGTGTGAAATGTTTGGAGGTGCTGACTTAAAGGTTAACAGTTTGTAGAAAATCCATTAGTCACACACCAGCTACTGCCCAGGAAAAAGATACCTAAAGTGTTACAACCTGGGAAGCTTCTTAAAGGATTACAATTAGTGGTTTTGGCTTCTGTTTGTTTGTAGGACTTGGATCAGAAAGGTACATATACTTATTGTTTGTTTGTTTTTTTATTTTTATTTTATATTGGTTTGCATACAAAATTCATATATGTTGTCTTTCATTCAGGTGCATTGTGTTTCATACAGATTCTTTCGTTCAGATTATGTTTTATATGATCATTCCCATATATTGTATCTTATGAAGAAAAGGCACATCTGGATCACATTACTGAATAAGGTTTTTGAGTTGCATAAAGTTTGTTAAAATGCAAATTCTCAGGCCTCTTCTAAAATTTTGAGTCATTATATCTAAGGTGTTGTATAGGACACTGGATGGTAATCTTATGATGGGTCAATGTGGGGAGCAAAGATAAATAACAGGTTCATAAAGGAAATAATGGGGGAAATGGTAATCCCAGAATACTTCCTTGTGTTTTTGTGAAACCTGTACTTGTACCAGGAAGCAGTCCTCAGAACAGAATAGGGAAACACTGCGCTGTTCAAAATTGGAAAAGGATTGTGTCAGGGATGCATCCTGTCTCCATACTTTTTCAATCTACATGCAGAACAGATCATTTGGGAAGCAGAGCCTTGTGAGGAGAAATGTGACATCAGGATTGTAGGAAGACTAATCAACAACCTATGTCATGTAGATGTCACAACCTTGCTTACTGAAACTGAAGAAGATCTGAAGTACTTGTTGCAGAAAGTCAAGGACTGTAGTCTTTAATATGGATTGAAGCTCAACATCAAGAAGACGAAGATTCTCACCACTGGGCCAATTGGCAGCACCATGATAGATGGAGAAAAGATTGAGGTTGTTAGCAATTACAGCTTGCTCATTTCCACAATCAACACTCTTAAGGACAGCAGTCAGGAAATCAAAAGATGAATTGCATTGGGAAAACCTGCTGTCGGGGCCCTGTACAGAATATTGAAAAGCAATGATGTCAGTCTAGAGGCTAAGTGTACCTAATCCAGGCCATGGTCTTCAAAACTGTTTTTTTGTTTGTTTTTCTTTTGTTGTTGTTTATTTGTTTGGCTTTTTGTTTGTGTGCGCTTTGTTGTTGGGTTTTCTTTTTGTCTTAACTATTAAGCTTCAGAAAGGTGGACGATGACTAAGGATGGCAGAAGAATTGATGCCTTCGAATTGTGGTTCTTGAGAAGAGTCTTGAATACACCATGAACTGCTAAGAAAACAAATAAGTCTGTCTTGGAGAGGGTGAAACCAAGTTTTTCCTTGAAGACTAAGATTTTGAAGCTTTATCTTACATACTTTGGGCACGGGGGCAGGAGATATCAGTCCTTGGAAAAGGACATCATGCTGGGGGAGGGACAGTGCAGGAGAGGAAGATCCCAGATAAGATGGACTGATACAGTGACTGGGGCAAGTGTGTCAGAATTAATGAGATGGCTCACGACAGCACAGGTTTCAGAGCTTCCGTACATAGGGTTGCTATGGGTCACAGGCGACTCAATGGTATATAACAACAACATAACAACAAAGGAAAGAAAAAGTGTGATGTTTATTTCAAATCTTCCTTTATAGAATAGCTTAAATTACTGCACAATTAGAAGGAAAGGGAGATTATAATTTTTGTAATATTGTTAAGAATTTGAAGTCCAATAATAACATTAGAATTATGTGGAGAACAGTATGGAATTTGGCTTTTTAAAGGCAAGAGTGGTATCACCTTTGCTGTTTTACCATCAGTCTTCTTACCAGCACTTTCTTCAGAGCCCCCATGACTTCCTTGTTCCTCAAGCTATAGATTAAGGGGTTCAGCATTGGGGTGATGAGAATATCAAATGCAAAAATGCGTTGGTGCACCTCTGCAGGGAGGGAGGAACCTGGGTTCATGTAGATAATCATGGCTGGACCAAAATAGAGACTCACTACACCAAGGTGGGAGGAGCAAGTGACCAGAGCTTTTTTCTTGCCATCAGAGGAGTTCATGCAGAGGACTGTGAGGAAGATGCGCATATAGGAAGTCAGGATGAGTCCAAAAGGGACAAGGAGAAAAATGATACCTGATGTTAAGATCACTTTCTCATAGGTGGAAGTGTCCTCACAAGAGTGTTTCAACAAGGCCATGACTTCACAGAAAAAATGGTGAATTTCCTTGGAGCCACAAATAGAAAAGTGCATGGAATAAGTTGTGTGCATTAGGGATATAAGAATACCTCCAGCCCATGAACCGGCAGCCATTTGCAAACAGACTCTGGGTGTCATGAAAACTGGGTATCTTAGAGGATTACAGACGGCCAAGTAGCGATCAAAGGCCATGAGGGTCAGGAGAATACACTCAGCCACTCCTAACATCAAGTAAAGGAAGATTTGAACTCCACACCCAATGCTGGAGATACTTCTGTGTCCTGAGAAGAAGTCAGCAGCCATCTTGGGGATGGTGGTGGAGATTAGTGTCAAGTCCATGAGAGAGAGTTGGCTAAGAAGCAAGTACATTGGTGTGTGGAGATTCACATCACTCCATATCAGCAAGGCCAAGATAGAGTTTCCAGTGATGGCCACAATGAAAATCAGAAGGACGATGGCAACAAGAAAACCAGGATGTCGAGAGTTTGAGAAGAGACCAAGGAGAATGAAATCTGTTGTGGTAGATTTATTTTCTTGCCCCATGTCTGAAGCTAATTACCAAATCTGAAGGATTATCAGAGAAAAATGCTTAGTATGAGATCCATAGTATCAATGGTGTAAACTGATATAAACAAATTTCCAAATTCTAATATTTATTGAGGGACTCTACTGGCCTAGTGTTAAAGAGTTGCACTGCCAACACAAAGGCAGTTGTTCTGAATCCAGTTGCTTCATGGGAGAAAGATGGAGAGTCTTCTCCCACTTGATTTACTGTCCCTGAAAATTGAGTTATGAGTTGGCTCTGACTTGAAAGCACACCACAAAACCAACATTATTTAATAAGAAAATATCAATGTATTGTAAAATTTTTTAAATGATTTATAGGATTATACCTAGAGGAATCACAGATGACAAAGCAGGGTTATGAATAATCACAAGTGGGAGATTTTAGGACTGTAACAGTTTGGATTAGTAAAAAATGTTTTGAGAGTTTTTTGGACTTGTTCTTATGATCCACATGATGTATCAGTCAATGTAGACTAATTTGAGGTATATTTATTGTTACTCTTAGATGCTTTCAAGGTGGTGCCAGCCCATAGCTGACCTTCCAGTGGGTTTTCAGAGGCGGAAAATTGCGTGGGAGATTTCCTATCTTTCTCCTATAGTGTAGCTGGTAGATTTGAACTACTTGCCTTCATGTTAGCAATGCAGCTCCTTACCACTAGGCCACCAGAACTCCCTTTGAGGTATAATAGATTTTGACTATTCCAGTCTCAATATTTTTCCATGTAGATATCAAGTTTCCTCTATTAGTGCCCACTAAAGCTTTTAAAATTTCTTTTCTATTTTTGTCTATTCTATGGTCCTTTCTTCCATGTAACCAATACATCTATTTTAGCAAATCTTTTTGTGGTATTCCCTACCATCTCATCTAAAATGTTGCTTTGATCTTGTAGTTTCTTTAAAATCTTATGGTCAAGGACCTCTCCAGAGTACTAAAAAGTAACTTTGTTGGTCTAGAGACTAAGGTGAGCCTAATCTAGACCATGGCCTTTGCAATTACTTGCTATGCATCAGAAAGCTGGACAAAACTAAGGATGATAGAAGAAGAATTGACACTTTTAAACTGTGGTCCAGGAGAAGAGTCTTGAACATACCATGAATTGCCAAGAAAACAAATAAGTCTGTCTTGGAGAGGGTGAAACCAAGTTTCTCTTTGAAGGCTAGGATTTTGAAGCTCTGTCTCATGTACTTTGGGCATGTGGCCAGGAGAGACTGGTTTCTGGAGACAGACATCATGCTTGGAAGGGTGGAGGGACAGCACAGGATAGGAAGACCCCAAATGAGATGGACTGATACAGTAACTAGGGTAATGGGTGCTGGTGTTTTGGAATTAGTGACTGGCTCAGGACCGAGCAGGCTTCAGAGCTGTTGTACAAAGGATCGCTGTGAGTCAGAGGCAACTTGACAGCATATAGCAACAATAACACACACAAAAAATTATGCAATCTCATTACTCATGAGGCAACCATGATTTATGAAAAGAAATTATGGTTAAAGAAACATCTTGATATTGAATCAATTAGAAAAAAAATTGTGGGTTCTTAACAGGAATTTCTTGTTCTTTTGTTGTTTTGGTTAGCTGCCAGTGAGACAGTCCTTGCTCATAATAACTCCAACCAGGACAGAACAAACTACTTCTAGATCTTGCACCTTATCTATGATCAGTTATCAATTAGATATTTATGATTTTTAGGGTGATTTTTATGAGCTTTGGTGCCGTAGTGATAAGAAGGTGTGCTGGCAACCCAAAGGCATTCTCGCAAGCTGCTTTTGGGAGAAAGATAGGTAATTTCCTCTTGTGTGATATACTACCAACTTGATGGTACATAATAACAAGACTTATTATTGGCTGTTTTTTGGGGGAAGAAGGCCACTAGGTTTTATTTCTAGTTCATCTTAGTCTGGAAGCTATATCTGTTAATAATTGTATCAACTGAACCTACACTGACAGGTAGTTGTGGGCTTCCAATAAAATGTATTGGCCAGGAAAAAAATCTGCATCTTCCTGCTGGAGAGTAAGAATTCTACCACTGAATCTCCAATGCCCTCATTTTATTATTACTATATCTTTTAAGATATCTCATTCACCATGATTTGTAATCCATAGCATAATTTTACATTGAAGTGCTAAATAGGTCATCATCAACAACGTGATGGGGTGTAATATTCAGGATATTCCATTAATCTGATCTCAACTATATATAAAATGGTGGTTATTCCATATTTATCTGTATAATAAATGTATTGTTACATAGTTTGCTGTCTGTCTTCTCTTTGATCACACCAGAGAAGGACAATTGGAATAATTAATTCAGAAATATTCCAGAGGACATTCTGCAAGGTATTTTGTAATTGCTTTGTGAAACAGTTTTACTACTTTTTACCTTTGCAAATACTTATATTACATTAAAAACAGTAGTAAATCTGGCAGTTTAAAAAAGCACTTGACATTTTAAACTCAGAATTATTTATTGTTTTACCAAGAACTTTTTCTCAGCATGCTGGTCCAAGTCCTTTGTTGTCTCTTAGAGCTTTTGGAACACTATTTTGGAAATGTTGAGTGATATGGAAGGACTTTCAGTATTTAATAAAAGATGATCAAAAGCATGAATTTTATTATAGACATCAAAAATTATTGTTGCTGTTCTGTATAATAGAGTCAGAACCAACCCACGGCTGATATTCTGGAACATTTTCAGAAGCAGTTAATTGTTCAGGAGATTTCCCATCCTTCTCCCACAGAGCTGCTGGTGGCCTTGAACCCCGTGCCTTTGGGATGGCAGTGCAGCTTCTTGCCACTAGGCCATCATCAGAGCTCCCAGATATCTATCTCTCTCTCTCTCATCTATCTATCTATCTATCTATCTATCTATCATCTATCTATCTATCTATCTATCTATCTATCTATCTATCTATCTATCTATCTATCATCTATCTATCTATCTATCTAAAACAGAATCATGAATTTGAGCATAAATTCTTAATCCAAGTCAAAGTTTAATCTTTCAAATATTTTTGATGCTTATAGAACAACCTAAGATATTTTTTTTAAACTATCTTGAAGTTAACCTCTTTACATAGTCTAGGAAACAGCCAAGGTATCTCTGAATCCAATCTTAAATCAATAAAGTTTTAATTTACATTCGTGTACAATTAGTTTATTTTTTTCCCTCAAACTCTCTAGCTGCTGACTATTAACTAGTGTGAACTATGTACATGTGTACATATATGTGTATGTATGTAATATACATGGTCTATGTACCTATCCAGTACAATCTGTCTCTGGAATCTGAATATTTAATTACCAGGCATCCTCTTCACTCTCCACGCTATTTTGAACATAGATATGGGATTTGTTGATAATACTTTTTTGAATATTACTGAGAATATAGAAGCTTTGCTGTTGCAATGACTACAGGCTCGACTGCTAACCAAATGATCAATGACGAAAAGAACTGACCATCTTCTATCATAAAGGTTGCAGTAAGGATCCCTACGGGACATTTCTACTTTGTTGCTATGAGCTATAATCCACTCAGTGGCACATACAACAATAACATTGAATACAAATAATTGAGATATTTTTATTCCAACTCTACTGCTTTTTTTACACAAGTCTAGAAACAATAGATTTTTTACAGTATTGAGTTACCTTATCATTGCATGTGAGTCTAGTCGTCACCTCTTGGGGATTCTAATTTTTCTAAATTTCCTTTTGCAACTCCTAAAGTGAGCCTTTAGATTCTGTAGACGGACAATAAATTCATGCTGCTGCTGATTTTAGTGAACTTGACACTGCAAGCTCATTTCAGATCCATGGTGTTTCTGATAATATGATGAAACAGAAATGAAATATAAGACTTACTGTCCACTGAGAGAGACATGATGGGCTCTTTGGGGAATGTGCTGGTTCAAGATAATATGCTTCACAGAAAATTAGCTAAGGTGTCAGAGGGTGGAGGTAAAATTCATCAGGGAAGAAATAACATCTCAGTGCTCTCGATAATAGTATGGTGGCTGAATAAGATCATGCCACCTTTTTAGCTCCTTTATGACCATGGCAGAGTTACATCTTTTACATTTATACTTCTTTTTTAAATGTTTTTAATTTTTTTAAATTTTTCTGCTAGTTTATTTAAAAAATTCAAATACAAATTTGAACAAATTCTTTAAATTTCCCTCACCCCTCTCACCCATCAAATTGTACAACTCAATAATTAATTCCTCTTCCCCCTGCACATCCGCATCCCTCTCCTTCCAGCCTCTCCCACCCCTCCTGGATCCTTATACTTATTCTACAATAACAGTTTTATACAATATTTATCCTCTGTAACTGAATTAGTTCCCTCATCATAATGCTCACCAGTTCCTCCTAAGTTAGGTAACAATTTACAAAGTTATTGCTCCTGAATGCTGCATAGTATTCCGTTGTGTGAATGTGCCATAATTTCTCAATCCATTCATTTGTGGTTGGACATTTGGGCTGTTTCCATCTTCTCGTAATGGTAAATGCACAATCTAAAGAAAAAAATTAAGCATGGGACCTTCTAAAGATTAAATCTCTGTGCACATCAAAAAGTTTTTCCAACAGGTTGAAAAGAAAACCTAGACTGGGAACAAACATTTGGTAATACCATCTTAGACAAGAGTCTTACAACAAAAGTTTACAGAATACGCCTGGGCCTCCTTATGAATCAGGGTGAAGTCTCTCTCAGGGAGGAGAGATAGGGAATGGCAAGGGACACACTGACAAGGGAGATTGATCATAACTGGCTTTGGCGGGCACTGTGGCAATTGGACAATTAAAAAAGACATGGGGGGGGAGGGAGGAACGGACTGGGGAGGAGGGTGGAGAAAGTGGTGCAACAATGAATAAATGAAAACCAAAAATCTCTGTAAATGTTCATTAAAACTAATAAAAAAAAGAAATTAGCCTAAAAAAAAAAGAAAAGTGATCTAATAGAGTGTGGAAATTATAA